AAAAAAAAAAAAAAAAAAAAAAAAAAGAAATTCAAACCACAAGAATCACAATTGTGAACCTAACAGGCCAATCATAGTGACATGAACCAAGAACTTGTATGAAAATAAAATTTAATTATGTGTCACTTTGAGTTTGAACAGAACTCTAAAATAAACTATAAAAATCATAAGAATGCCATCTAAACACAGGGTGGTGAAAATATTTGTTTAGCAGGTCATAACTCCTCCCTGTAAGTACCAGGCAAGATAATCAAGTGCCTTAAAGTGGAAGCACCATAGAGAGTGAATGAATGATTAAGTGAATAAAATAAAAGCTTTGCTTATTTTTCCAAATGCCAGGATAGAACCCATAATGCTAAAGCCGGCCTTTGTCATTTATTTTCCTTCTTGCTTCTTAAGCATCCTTTGAAAACATTAAGCTCAAATATATTTACAAATCTATGAGTTAAGAAGGAGTAAGAAAAATGTAGGAAAATAAAATATAGTGGGAAGAGTTGAAAAACAAGCCTGGGGAAAATAACCTAAATTTGAGTGCCGATGAAACATTAAGATATTTCTAAAGGGGAATAAGCAAAGGGTTTTGTTGTTGTTGTTATTTTTGAAGAGCTTTTTTTTTTTTTAAACTAAACATTAAGGAATCCGTTTATTCAAGACTTACAAGTATCTGTCAAATGCTGAGGATTATATTCTTAACTTAAGTGGTTTTTTTTTTTTTTTTTGGAAGCACATATTTCCCTAAATCAAAAACTGTTTATGATTATGAACTCCTTTCTAGAAATGATTTTGATATTGTACAGAAAAAAAGGTAGATTTGAGAATGTAACCAGCTTTGAAAATGAGACATTAATAGAGAGTTATTAATTTCAACATGCTTGTTCTAACCTTTCCAACGTTTTAAAGCCAAGACTACAGAATGCCAGCGCAGGTTGCACAGCAAGGACTATGAAGTCAGTCTCATATGGTTTCAAATAATATGGTATAGGTGATTATGACTTGTTTAATCTAGGTAAATATCTACTTCCTTATCAGAAAAAGAGACAGTTGCAGAGAATAAATGAGAATGGATGTCCACTGACTGCCACATAGAAAGGTATTCAATCAAAAGCAGAGGTTAAGTGGGAGCCCCGACCTCTTCTTAGAGTAACAAATGTGAGTTATTCCTAAAGGGTATAAATATCAAAGGTTTGACAGGGGCAAATATCAGCAGATTCCAGGTTACAGAACTACCCATGGGTTCTAAGCACATACACAGGTGAACTGGAAAAGGTGGTCTGATATACTTTCACATACCACTGGCGAGAGTCCAGGTTTTTCAATTCTCTCAATAATTTTGAATTTTTCTTCAAAAGATGAAAATTCTTCCTATAAAGAAAAAAACGATGGAAGAAAAAAATCATGTGATCAATGGTCAATTTTGCTGCATTTGAGTTAGTTAACAAACCTATCTATCATCCATTCATCTGCTTCCTCATTTCACTAAATATCAGTGATAGAATCAAGTCCATTCGCCTTCATATGTGCAAGGCATAAAAATCCCACTGCATCCCATTACTGTCCAGTGACACTAGATGACTCTGATAAATTGAGTGTGGCCTTGTTCTGTATTTTCAGTCAGTTCTGCTACAAATTTCTGCATAACACTTTATTTCTTTAAAAACTGAACTCCACTATCGGGATCCAGTCAAATCTATCCTCTTCCATGAGGTCTTCTCCACTGTCCCATACTTCCCACTGGACTAAATCATTCCTCTTGAACTCCTGGGCCACTCTATGCTTTATCAAAGTTTCATCACACCCACCTCCCTCATCAGATCTAAGGCGTATTTGCCATTTACATCTTCATTAAAGTAGAAATGATAATGGCCAGAGAAGTAAGTAAATAAAACATATACACAAAGGAAATACTTCAAACTCTAAAACATTCAGTAGGTATTTAGAATTCAATGTGTGCATTAGTACAGCATAATTAGTTCCATTTCTGGCTTTAATTTAGCAGCCAAAATAACTTTTAATTATTATCATTATCAAAATAATGTTGAAGTAGTGAAAAAAATCTCCATTTTTATTTTCTTCTTCCCTGACCCTAAATTGATTAAAAAAAAAAAAAAGAAAAATCATTTGAAAAAGATAATTTAAGGACTAGCATGTATTGTTACCTTCTATCCCAAGAATTCATTCCCAAATCATCGAGTAACAACCTGCAGAAATAAAAAGGCCCTCGGGGCTCCACTGGCGAGGGTTGCCCTTGGCTGGTAACTTTCATTGAAGAATCAGAGTTACACCTCTGAACATATTCATCTTCCTGTGCACTCTGGCGCAAAATGACCTCAATGATTTCCTTTTCTTGCTCACGGTTCATGCCATATGGGGGTGGGGAGGGCTCATTTAGATTTAGCTGTGATGGTAAAAGGCATTCGGGACTAGTGTGGCCAATGTTTTCAAGTAGTTTGTCAAGGACATCATCTCCTTCTTCGATTTGGGAATGATCTTTCTGGGGTCCAAATGTGTGATGATGGTGGCCCGAAATTAGAAATAAGGGATTTCTTCCATTGGGTGCTAAGCATCCCTCCAGAGGTCCATATAAAACTTTTCCATCCCAAGAGTACTTCCCTGATATATCCCTCACAATAACTCTCACATCTGAGAGGGCACCCCCAGGTCCTTCTGCAGGTGTCTGAAGGTAGGAAATGAGGGTACTGTCATTAAATACAAACAGCTGCAGGTTGGGGCTCCTGAACACCTCAGAAGACAGCTCAGTGCCTTCCACGTGGGCATTGTCGTGGTTCTCACTGACAAGGCTGTGCAGCACAGCTGGGCCTCCGCTCAGAGGGTAGTGACCCAGGTGGTTCACCAGGTGGGCCATCACCATTCGGGCAGTCAGAGGGATCAGTTCCACACTTCTTCGCCTTTTCTCTGTGAACAGCCAAGAATGAACAGACAGTGAAGATTAGGACTGAATGCCTCCAGGTTTCGGTGTTTGTTGGTTTAGTCTAGGACTTTGCTTCAACTTTTTAATTTAATTTTATTTATTATTTTTTGGTATGGGCATTGAACCCAGAGTCTTGGGCATACCAGGCACTGATATGATACTGAGTCACATCCCCAGCCCTCAACTATTTATTTTAAACAATTATATTTTAATTTAAAAGCATAATTCAAATGGACTACTAAAAAACCAATTTACAGGAGAAACTCATTCTGAAAGGGATGTTAAAAATTCTGTAGACATAGGACTAGAAAAAGCAAAATGTCCTTTTCCTTAAAGAGTTGTCAGTTTTGGGGGTATAGTTCAGTAGTTGAACACTTGCCTAGCATACCTGAGGCCCATGGTTTGATTCTCAACACCACAATAACAAAACAAAACCCAAGGAGCTCATAGTTCAAAGAGCTCTGGTAAGGACAAAATTCACAGTCAGGGGCAGCTAGGGGCTGGAGAGTAGCTTATGGGAGGTACCTTGCTTCCCTTGATGGGGTAGAAGTAGACCTGGTAAGAAAATTAATCAAATTTGTGACTGATTAAATATATTCAAAGCAGTTGGCTTAATAATTATTGTGACAATTTATGTTTAGTTGTTAGGGCATTTTAAATATTTAAGAGAATCTGACATACTAATGAATCATGGAGAAACTTAGAAGACTTTAACTAAATTTTTAGTTGATGATTAAATGCTCAAAAGCAACTGATTTATAAATTTTTTAATACTTACAAAGTATACAAAGACTTTGACAACAATAGTATAAGGGGGTCTTGTAAAATAAAGCATAAGGAGGAAGAAGCAGATAAACTAAATCTACATGAATTGAAATGATGATTTAAACTTAAAAGTAATTATGGAAATTTCAATCTGTCAAATTTATGAAAGCATTATGCTTTAATCTAAGAACAAGTGAAAATGAAACCACTAATTTTAACAGAAAAAAAAATCTAGATATTTAAATAAACTAAGGTTTATAACTTGAGCTTGAAGTTTTAGGAAATATGAAAAAACAAATATTAATCAAACCGAAGTAAATGTAAATATTTTAATGCTGCATACCCTCCCCCTTAGAAATTAAAAATCTAATTGACTTATTTATGATACATCAGTTTTATGATGTATGAAACGTAAGGGAGGTAAAAAAATCAAATCCCCAAATTTAAGAAATTCTGGGTAACAACTGAGGAGAATAAGATCATCTTGAGTTTTCTTTTTTTTTTTAAATAATGAATAAGAAATATGTATTCAATAATGGAAAATAAATTTTCATATCAAAACACTCATTTCTTTAGAAGCAAAGGAAGTCATCTACATTTCTCTCTGAAACTAAACTCTCTCTCCCAAACCCCGGGAGAAGTGAATATGATTTCCACACAACTAAGAAATCTAAGGCCCAGATTTAACACTCAAGCTAAGAAATATTAATGCCCCAAAGAGCAAACATAAAGCTAGCCAAGAGTTGGTGAGTTCATAATGCAAATTACTTCATACATATTTGCATGGCAGAATGGGCATAAAACTCTCACCAATAAAGGTCTAATTTGATAAAGGCCCAAGGTAGAAAATAACAATTAGAAAGTCACCTTTCTTCTACCTTTACTTACATAGGTTATGCTTTCAATTTAAGGTAAATATAAATGTGTATTCTATGAATGTATTTGAATTCTGTAATGGGAAATTAACCTGGAGTCACACTGATCAGGTTATAAACCATGACACAATGACACATCCAATAAAAATCTAAAATAGCTCTGATACTGAAAACTGAAGAAAGGGAATATTTTATGAAATAACAATGACTAACTGCACTGCCTGTGGGTTCTTTGAAAAACAAAGAAAAAATTTGGACAGTTAATGAAAAAACAAGTTCATGACTTTCACAAATTATTAAAAAATAGAGTTCAAATATCTTTATTTTATTTTCCTAAACTTTGGATGAAATATAAGAGTAGTATTTTAGATTATCCTTTAAATTTCATTTTTTGAAACCCCTCCAATCCCTTCTCTTTTAAGTAATTAGGTATAAGTGATGAGGAATCTGAGCAAACAAATCTACTATTGATAGCTTTACCATGTCTCCTTGTATCTTTCTTTTAAAGTAGTAAATATACCTAGTATTAGATAATAGTCTAAGAAAGAATCATAAAAAATAACAGATAAAAATATAATATTGCTTATCAGAGACATTATCTAATTCGAATAGTTTTGTAATGAATGACAAATTGTGACAATGAGTGAAATAAATAAGCACATTTTATTTAACCTAAAATCTATTACCTTTATTTATCCTCTTCACTCTTAACAAGATGTACCCACTTAGCAAAAGTGCTTGTGCGTGCCAATATTGTTTTTAAGCATCTTGTTTTTTACTTAAATTGCTAGTAAATTTTAAAAATTCTTTTGTCATAGAAGTTTGAGCAATTAGTTTTAGTACCATAGAACTATGTTGGGAACAGGTGCATAAGATTCTGAAGTCTTCTGGAGAATGAATATTCAAGTCAAGGAGTGTTGTGCATACAAAGGAAAATGGTATCAAAATCAGAGTGCATTTTTAGGTTTTTCCTTTTTCACTAACCTATTAATCTTTTGCTATTTTCAAGAAACAAGTCATATTGAGTAGTGAACCTGTTTTAGAGACAGCCATGTGGGATAAATGTCAATAACTTTAGGAAAATATAAGTTAATTTCTTGTAAGACATGGATTGCAAAAGAGGAAACAGCAAAAGAAATGGATCAAGAGTTATTCTGATTACTTAATATAAATATGGTTTGAATTTATAATTGTGGGGAAAATTTCAAGAAGATATTACAGTTAACAGACAGTGGAATTCCAGGAAAAGACAATTAAATGATTAAGAAAATGGAAGGTGAGTTGAGTACAGTGGCACACACCAGTAAATTCCAGCAGCTCAGGAGGATTTCAAGTTCAAAGCCAGTCTCAGCAACTTAGTGAGGCCCTAAGCAACTTAGCAAGACCCTGTCTCTAAATAAAACATAAACAGGGCTAGGGATGTGACTTAGTGGTAAAAGGCCCTGGGTTCAATCCCTAGTAGAGAAAAAAAAAAAAAAAAAAAAAAAAAGATGGATAACATAAGTTTACCACAACCAGAACAACTCAAAACAAGAGTCTTTAGCCTATGGCAAAAATTTTAGTAAAAAATTTATTTCAGGAAAATGATCATTAAATCTTAGACTTGAATCCCACCTCCATTATTTCTGACTTGTACAGTCTTGAGAAAATCCCTTAACTTTCATTTGCTTGTCTATCAAATGAAGTTAAAATCAGAACTGTCAGATTTCAAGGCCCTGCTCTTTTTCATCCTCATCTCACCTTTCCCTTTATCTTCACCTGACTCATACTTCAGACTCCATGGTCCTACAACCATGGGCCCTCAAGTATGGCCTACAGCACTCCATCTCTCACCAGCCCCAGAAGAGGGATCTGTCTCAAGTCTCTGAGTGATCTATCTGGCTAGACCAACCACTCTGCCCAAAGTGTTCTGGCAAAACCCATGGCCAAACACCACTGGGAAATAAATGAGCTCCTTTTTTTGCTCTTACCTTCTCCAAGAGTTTCTGAGGCATCTGCACTGCTGACTTTCCTCAGTGACACCTGCTTTCTTCCCATGACTTCCTAGACATGTTTCTTTCTTGGTCCTTCCATGGATGATCTAGCACTCCACACCCACATTTTTTAACTTTTAATTTTGTAACAACTAATGATCCATATGATTATAAGAAATAATACAGAGAGATCTCAAATAGTCTTCATCTCAGTGGCAACATCTTACATAATCACAGCATAATACCACAATCAGGAAACTGACACTGATATTAATCCACTCATATTATTCAATGTTTGCTAGTTTTACATACACCCATTTGTATGTTTGATTCTATGTAATCTGATCACTCATACAGATGCCACACTTACCTCAACAATCAACTCAACAATCCAAATTCTAGAGCTGGGTGCTTATCATTCGGGATGGGGGATGGTTAAGGAGGAAAGTCCTGACAATCCTCATAGACTCTAAAATGGACTTTGCTACAAGCAGAGACATCCTTAAACAGGGATAAGTAAATTCCTATTTCCTTCCATGAGGGTCTCCTACTCTAGAAGAGTCTATAAGCTCTTTTCGAAGCCTGTCCATCCTGCCAAGGTTAGATTAGGTCCCTCTCAATGGGAAGCTCCCATGGTGCCACTAGTCCAAAATTGAAATGATTCTTTCTGGATTTTTCTTGTCTCTCCAATCAGATGCAAAACTCTTTGAGGACACAAAATGAAACTTTTTTGAGGATTCCATGGGTCTGAGACATATGGATCTTTAATAACACAAAGCTGTTTGAATAACTAAGAAGGGGAAGGAGTAGAGAGAAAAAACAAATAAACAAACAACAATAGCAACAACAACCCCCCCCAAACAGAAAAAAAAAAAAAAAACCAGAGAAACAAAAAGGGAAAGCAGAATTTGCCATCCACAGAGGACTCTAAAAACTAGGATTTTAACTTCAACAACCAGGTTAAAAATAGTAATAATAACACAGCAAGCACTGGACAAAAGGCTTCAATCTTTCCTTCTCTTATTCACAAGATATATTTGGAACGATACTCACCCTCTTCAACAGTCAGAAGGTTCCCCAGTTCTGCTGATGAATGATACTGAACTGGCTCAGAGCTCTTCACGTTTGCCAGTGGCAGAAAGGGATCATAATCCGTGGATGACAAGTCAGCCAGAGTCAGTGTATAGTGACTTTGTTGGGTATATGTGCTTGAGCCACAAACACAGCAGTGCAGAACCTATTGAAAACAGATGGAATGGCACCCTGGATGTCATCATCTCCTGTCCCCTGATACTCATGATGTCCAATCACCATGGCTCTTAAGAGCTAAGACTCCTGTTTGGGAGTACTTCAAAACATTGGGTCCTGCTGGGGTTGTGGCTCAGCGGTAGAGCACTTGCCTAGCATGCGCAAAGCCCTGGGTTCAATCCTCAGCATCATATAGAAATAAATAAAATAAAGGTATTGTGTCCAACTACAGCTAAAAAAAATTTTTTTAAAAATTGGGTCTTTTTCATCCTTAAATATATTTTTGCTGTTAGCAAGACACTGATGTGTTCTTTCACATCAATGACAATAAATATATTCTCAAAGAAAAGAAAAGTTAAAAAGTGATTATTTCACCATTCTCAGTGATTGCACATACCTAAGGCCTCCTCCATCCACCAAAGGAGACACAAGTAGAAGAAAATGAATCAGGAGGTGAAGGGTGGCTGGGGGATAAGTTATTTGTGGTGGAGGGCAGAATGGGCTCAATGAGCAGAGCCTACTGGCCAATTCAAGACAGTTTTTAAGTTTAAATCAGCATGACTCATGATCCCATGAATAATTTTTAAAGTATAGTTTAGTAAAAGCAAATTTAACTAAGATTTTTGAAGTATTCTTATTTTTCACAAGACTAACTTCTTTAATAAAATAAATTAATGTTTTTTAAAGCAACCAGATTACTGTAACTATTATACTTTTTCCTACCTTGCATAAACAGATTTTTGGCAAGCGAATACTGTGATTATTCCTATAATATAAATAATTCTTTTCTAAATTAAGTAACCATAGACCACATTCCATAAAAATTGGGGAATACTGATCAAAGAATAGCCTACTTAAAATTAAAGATGAGAGTCATAAAAATGCATGAATTTTTAACTTGGTAATCATTACTTCTCTAAAACTTTATCTTCCTCCTTTCAGATCTCAAGTTATTCTTTTTAAATATTTTAACTCGTCACGAGTCCTTTTTCAAAAGGGCACAGATAAATAAGTGCACAAAAGATATTTTGGTAGTTTTCTGACATGTAGGTCCATAGTCCATGCCTTGAGGCTCAAGTGAAGACTTACCCTATAGATATAATCCAGCAAGGGGGCCCGGGATGGGTGCTGCTCCTCCAGGACCACTGTGGACACAGGATGGAGAAGGGTATTCACTGGCAATGCCATGCACCAGTCCAAGAGGCAGAGGAGTAAGGATACAATAAACTGGAAGAAGAAATATTATGTTATGTTGCAGTCTTTTAAACATCACTATGTTTAATAATATAAAAGAAAATTCTTTCTATATACAAATTATTGAATGGACATCCAAATTCTAGATAGATAAGTAAATATAAGACAGCGTTTTCATAAAAATTAATGCATCTGTTAAAATCTGTTAATAATCTGTTAAAATCAATGCATGCAGATATTATAAAGGCTATAACTATTTATACTACATTTATAATTCTGTCTTACATTTAAAAACAAACTCTAGAGAAAAGTTAGCTAATGTGCCACCTACCTTCTTATCTGTTTCCACTGAAGAGTACTCAGCACTTGGTAATAGGAAAGCAATTGTAGCCACAAGGATCTGCATAAAAGATAAGTGCCAAAAAGACCAGCATTATAGTTTTAGAAGCCATATCTTAAAAGGCGACCTTGCAATGAAATCCAGCTTTGTGCTAACTCACTGGAGGAAGGTGATATAAAGCCGAGGGTCAGTTGTGTGGTATGATCTTGAAAATTATGGGAAGGCAATGGGGGCATATCTGGTTTCCACATAATCTGTTGGTGGTGTAATTGGGGGCTCAAGGGAAAGGACTACCTCTCATTGCAGTCACATAACTTCTACCATCAGTTCTCTCACTTTTCATATTGAAATAAAAAAGGACTTAAGAGTAATTATGAAAATGTTTCTATTCAATTTCTTATAATTACCCCAGTCTGTACCTGCTGTCCTGCTGTCATAGCACCCCTTTAATTCACAAAAGTATTCCTGTTTAGGTGACAAACTATAGGGTTGCCCTAAAATCCAACTTTACATTTTACATCTTATATTACTATATCCAAAGCTCTATTTCACTGTAGGTCACTTAAGGTAAAAAAAAAATATTTGACTTCTGATGTGTTTCTGGGAGAACAAAGTGATCTTGCCAGTGAAATTTGTCTAGGCTAAGAGAAAATAAATCAACATCACTTCTTCTCTCACCCTACAATCCCTTATGGAGACAAATCAAATTTCTTCAAACAGTTACCCCTGGATGTGTAAAGACAGAACATGTTTTAAAAGTGCAGCTATAAAAATTGGCAGGAATGGATGTGACTTGCCACCAGGTACTTATGAGTGAGGATACTTGCTCAGACATAAGCAAAGCATTCTTAGATGGAACTCATTTTAGGATGCTATGGTTGAAATTATTCTTCCTGATCCTTCTCCTCTCCAATCCCACCAACCAATGGAACAAGAGGGTATTACAGGGGTAATCTCATCACAGATGGGTAATCATGCCATGACAGAAAGCAGGGTCCAGGGCTTTGTCTTGGAGGAACTCCTACTTTATACAACAGACACCTCCTCCACCCTGCACAGAGGGCATCATAATCAGCTGCTTACTCCTTATTGGTACCATCCAAAGTATTTGAGATGAATGAAGACCCAATCCATAAAAGGTCTCTTTGTTGTGGATGTATCTGCCTTTCAAACTCCCCAAGTATCAGTGTCTGCCCTGGAACACTGCTGGCTTCTTTCTGTAGTGCCTAGAATCATAGCTGAGAAGAACAAGTCCAGCTTGCTCTTATGAGACCCACATCACAATTTAATGGTTGGTTCTCTAGTAATTATTTGAGAGTCTCTAATTAAACAGATATCAAATATACTAAAAAGGAAATGTGTATGTTTTAGCATTCAAGGAAAAGGACTTACTTCTGCCATTTTCCGAGGCAGAGAGGTTTCAAACATCTGAAGTTTTTCCCAGTAGGAAACCAGCAACTGAAGAATATCACAGGCTACCTGAGCCACAATTTTGTTAGGAAACTATAAAAGGAAACAAAATTCCAAAATAAATACATGACAGGTATATTATCCCTAAGGAAGAATAAAACTTCTTCTCAGATTACAGTATATTTGTTTTGCATAAAATTGATGAAAACTATGATTAACAGAGAAGTCATACATGATCACACCACCATTCTAAAACTGGCTCTTGTTTAGCTTAACTATGTCAATTTATACAACTTTTGTATAGAAATAAATAGCTGCCATTTAATCACTTGAAATTGAAAAACTTCAGCTCACATAAACCATCTTTTTTCCAACTATAGGAAATTACATAATAGAGTATGTTGCTGAATGTCCCTTATCCACTGAACCTTTTGTTTTCAGCATTTATTTTTTTATTGGTACATTTTAACTATATAGAACAGTTAGTTTCATTGCAGCATGATTGTACATACATAAAACATAATTTCATCAATTTCACTCCCCAATTCTCCCATTACTCTGATTTTACAAAAAGTTTTTTTCACATCACTTTTTTTCCATCTTTTAAAAATTTATTCTAATTTATTATATATGACAGTAGAATGCATTACAATTCATATTACACATATAGAGCTCAATTTTTCATATCTCTGGTTGTACACAAAGTAGAGTCACACCATTCGTGTTTTCATGCATGTACTTAGGAAATCCACTGAACCTTTTACAAGAATTTTACTCATTCTCTTATTGATAAATCTTCATTGACAGCTCTGTAAGGTAGATGTTCTCTTCATTTTATACATAGAGACAAAGGGATTGATCAAATAAATTTCTATATTCTGAAATGAAACTTGGCCTATATGTTTAACATACTATAATCTGTAAAATTAGAGACTCTGAGAACGTAACTCTTGAGTTATGGCACACTCATTAACTTTGAATGCCACTCCTGAGTCTGGTGTGTGTCTCTACCACCACCATCTTCTAGATGCTTCCATTTCTTGTGAGATAGATGTCAAAGAGGCAGTATTTGAAAGACCTTACTTTACTATGCTGGGGGAACATGAAAGGGCACCCTGTCCTTTTCTCCCTAGCCAGAACCTGGGGTTACAAGACTATCTGTCACTCATTAGCTAGAGCAGAAAAATTTGTCAGTGATCTGTCACTGGACTAGAAAAACTCACTCAAGTTACATGAAGTAGCTACCAACTGACATGTGCACAATACAAATAACACTGAAAGGTCAATGTTTAGTACCCCAGTGGCAAGCACACAAGATGACAAAGAAGGTAAGGAAAAGATGATTAATTTTAATTCTACAGAATAAACAGTTACTGATAGGCACTACCTGAGAGGTGTGAGGTAGACCCATAGCTCTTCATAACCTTCCACAGCCATCTAGACCCAGATGACCTGTTCTCTACTAGCCTTCTTCCATTTCTCCAACACCCTGGCTTTTTTTCTGCCCTTGCCGTTGTACCCACTCCTAGCTTTGCCTGAACACCCATACCCCAGTGGAGCTTGCACTGTTTCATCTTTCTGATTCTGGCAAAAAAGAGTCATCTCCTGCAGGAGGCCACCACACTCATCCAAATGATTGGCAGCCTACCACTTCCAGCACTTCAGTTTCATCTCATCCTTGTTACATATCCTTCATGGCACTAGGGCTGTCAGGACTTATCTGACATGTTGATTATTTTTCTACATATTATGAGTCACTATTTTATACCTAATGCCTAGCATGGCTTCCTGAAGGATGTGCATGGTAAGCTTAAGGGAAGATAAAATGCTGAAGGACTGGGAAAAAGTGAGTGGATGCTGGCAAGTCTCTTAACTCAGGAAGCTAGAAATATACAAGAAGAAAATGGTGAGACCTGTAGCAGACAAGACAAAAGGGCTTTGGGCAGAGAGAGGGGGAGACACGACAGGCAGAAAAAAAACTACGGAGGGGGAAAGAGCTGAGCTGTGCCTGGAAGAATGCAGATGGAGAGCCAGGGTTTCCTGTGTGGGGAGTATCAGGGCACAGGTACTAAGGTAGGAAAGGACCTCAGGAAGAGTAGAAGCTACCATAAGGGTGGCAGTACTGACATATAAGAATGAGGTAGGGAATGGTGGAGATGAAACAAGTCATTCATTCATTCATCCAGCACACAGCAAAGGAAAACTGACAATGTGCCAACATGAATTAAAAGCAGAGAATTAAAGGAATAAGATGAAAAGGACAGGCAGATCCTACTTTAAAGAATTGACAGTGTCATGGGGCTGGCAGGGACCTGTCCTGGTTCTGTATGCCCTGCACAGTACCCTGTCCTAGTACCCTGGTCACACCATGTTGAAGGAGAAAGTCAATGATGCCTGGGAGAGCAGGTAGGGGAAAGAGCAGTAGGTGGGGCTGAGAACAGGTTGCTCAGAGAGGAAGGGATGAGCTGTTTGCTTGAGCCTTAGCCTATGCCTCTCTATTTCTTTATTTTTATTTTTTGTAGCTGTAAATGGACAGAATGCCTTTATTTATTTATTTTTATGTGGTGCTGAGGATTGAACCCAGTGCCTCACACATGCTAGACAAGTGCTCTGCCACTGAGCTACAGCCCCAACCCTGCCTCTCTATTTCTATAGTTCAGTCCTCCAAGGGGGACATCCAGAGTTTCTGAGTGTGCTGGTAGCCTAGAACCACCACACACCAGACACTCATCTGCTGCCCCACCAAATGCAAACAAGTGGGGGAGTGAAATTCTTTGGACAGTAGCCCAACTAGGCTGAGCCCACTCACTGTGGCTGCAGACATGTTTACATTAACACCCCTTGGGGAAAACCTCCCCAGTTCATGGCTGGTTGTGCCCCTCCCACATCTGAGCACACTTGGGTCACCTCTGTTGGCTGTTTCTGAAGGGCTCAGTTATAAGCAAGGCAATGCTGGAAACTATAGAGTCCTAGGAGCTTGTATTCTCTGCAGTATAAACCATCTGGGAGCAGGAAACCAAAACCATTGCTACTGTAGCCTCTTCATTTTTCTCCCTCCTGACAGTCTCAGAGACTCCCTCAAGTCCTTTGATTCAAAGTGGTTGCCAGTTCCTTTGTTCTTTCTGGTAACTCTTTCCTTTGTAGTCCTCAGTTCTTCTTAGATTTATACACTATGTCCTTAAACAGGAATCACATGGAAGTGTCCCCAGAGAACAGGACTTAAAGTCAATATGCTTAAGTCAATGGCTTAAATCAAGCTGGAACCAGTTCCTTTCTTCCTTGTGCTCCTTCTCTTTTATTCCTAAATAAAAGAGAGCATTTATCCAGAGTCGGGGAGGACTCAGTAGGACTGTGCTTAATGGTTGTCTAACAGAATAAGAACTCAGTACATTTAATTGCATTTTTTAGGGTACCTTATGTTTTTCCTATTAATTACAGAAGAACTGTAGAAACTTTGAAAAGTCACAGAAATGCAAAGAAGAAAATCCATTTATCCCTTTACTCTGTTATCTATTTCTTTCCCTCTTCTATACTATAAACTTATATACATACATATATATTCATATATGTATTTATGAATGACATTATTGACTTCTAAACAGTTTTTCCAGGTAAGAGATAGGAATGGGGGAAACACTTTGCATTAAATATATATGTCTAAATTTAAGTAAAATTAAAATTTGAAAAATAGATTGAGATAAACATCTACCTTAAATAAGATATTTAAAAAATGAAATGGGACCTTACTGTTACTAATCACATGTAAATATTTCTTTGTGGCTTGGGGAATCATAAGTGTTCTGCATTTGGTGTACAAAATCCTCACACACGTGGCTAGAGTATCCTGGGTTTGACCTGGAAAGTTCCTCAGGCTCCCAGTCAGTACATTTCTCCCATCTGTGAAGTACAGGTGGTCCACAGGATGGTTCTAAGGAATGAGTATGATGACAAAGGCCAGTGGCCAGCATCTTGTCTAGAGAGAACACTCACAATATGGTATTGTGGTTAAATAGTTTTCCATTCTTCATCACAGGAATCACAGCAAGAATTTTTCTACCTCCTATGATGTAACTGGCATCACTCACCACAGCAATTGTGGAGGAGAGACAGGGGAGGATAAGGTGATGGGGCAGTGTCAAAGGTACACTTGGGGAACAAGAAGCCCTGAGTTTGGTCAGCGGGGTCCAGATCATTGAGGGCCCAATGTCTAGCCAAGGATGGGGAATACAATTAGCTGCTGAACTCAGGGGATATCACTGGTCTGATGATGACTGTTCCAGCATCAGCTATTGATTGCTGTTGCTATTATAGCTGCACGTGGCAAGCAGCAAAGAAGGGTGGGCAAGAAGGGCCTGGACATAGGTATCAGATGGATGGTTTATGACTTTAATTTTGACTCAGCTAGGGGGTCTCATACACTTAAATAAGTTCCTTAACTCTCTTGAATTTCAATTCTTCCAATGGTAAAATGGGGACATTCACCTTGCCACTGAGAACTACCACAAAGCTCTCAGCACAGTGTCTAGCAGGACAAGGTGCTCACTGGTTCTGAAAATATAATTATGGCAATGCTAACCTTACCAACATTTTTAAGTAAGAACCGTGATAGCACAGGATTGAAGCTCTTGCTTAGGAAGCAACCTACCAGCATAATTAAAAGTTCAGTTATGTCTTTAATATCACACAGATCTACTTTCAATGCTGATTCCATCACTTTTACTTGAATAACCTTAGACTTAAAACCTAATTTCTCTGGGTCTTGATGTTCTCTGGTATAAAATGATGAGTATAACATCTACCTTAAAGAGCTATCATAAATACTCATAAAAGCATTTAGAAAATTTATCATTATTCTGACCTTGTTTGAGGGCCCAATAAATGATAACTCTTCTCATTAACAAAGCAAAGAAAGAAGTCCTATAAATACTGAAAGTTCAGCACAATGATGTATTAACACTCAGTGCTCTAAACTGGAAGCTGTGGGGGTCTTTCTCAGTCATGTTGAAGAGTGTGGGACATGAAATCTCACTATTTTGTCACCCTCATCAACAGACAACAGCTGTCCTCCTTGTCCTAGGACCTGCCCAGCACGAGATGAACCTCATCTGGCCACAAGGCTATCCGAACAGACTATCAGTGGACTGATGGTAGCTGCCAATGGGGTAAGCAGCCATGGTGACCTCATAGCATACTGACAGGACTCTTAAAAAAGGGGATTCTGAATCATCTCCTTTTTGTAACATAGGAGGCAACAAACAATTTCAATTTAAACTAAAATAAAAAATACTTAGGAGATAGTTTAATGTGAAATAAGTACCAAGAACTGGTAATACCTTCAAAGTTACACCTATCACATTGATGGCTTCTTTCACCTGAGGACGGCTGGTACACTGTGCAAGCTCTTCACAGATCCAGACCCCAAGTGAGCAAATGGCGATGCATCTTTTTAAAAAAGAAGGAAAAGAAGAAAAATGCTTATGAAATGATATATTTCCTTAATATTTTGAAATGAGAAATATTTTAAATCTGTTTATTCAAGGCAGCAAAAATCAAAAAATACATTAACAGAACATCTTCTTGAGAGAGTAGATAGGGAACTTCAAACAGATCAATTTTCAGGAAAAATAGAAACATTGATAATGATTAGTATTTAAATATTTTGTGAAGTGAGTGGCATGTTTTCTGTTAATTATCACAGCTCACGTATCACTTATTTTTATTAAAACTAATTTATTACATTTTATTATTTTGATAAAGTTTGGAGGAAAGGTAAAAAATACAAATCTTAGTAAATTATTGAAAACTGAGTTTACAATTGTCTTCCTTATATGTACAATGTCTACTACTTACATAAGAAAAACCCTGTATTTTACTTTAAAATATATTTTAATGGAACTTTCAAAATTAATTTTACTTTTTTTTTTTTTAAACACTGTGCTAGAAAAAGATATTCTGCCAGGAAAACAGGATCATACCATACACATTTTGATTCTATTTATTGGTGGGGGGGGGGGGAGGGGTGTTTCTCAATTATTTATTTATTTATTTATATATGACAGCAGAATGCATTACAATTCTTATTATACATATAAAACACAATTTTTCATATCTCTGGTTGAACACAAAGTATATTTACACCAATTCATGTCTTCATACATGTACTTTGGATAATAATGACCATAACATTCCACCATCATTTCAAATCTCATGCCCCTTCCCTTCTCCTCCAACCCCTCTGCCCTATTTAGAGTTCGTCTATTCCTCCCATGCTCCCTCTCCCTCTCCCACTATGAATCAGCCTTCTTATATCACAGAAAAAATTCAGCATTTGTTTTTTTGTCTATTTTTTAACTCTACAGAAATTTGGCTTTCTATGCTAAAGAAAAAAGGGGAGAAAAAAGAATTGCCAAGACTTGTTGATAGTGTAAATATGGTAGGTGTGGGAAAAATGAGAAATTTCTTACAAATTTCTGGGTTTAAAACCTGAGTAGATGGTGGTGCCATTTATTGAAATGATATCTAAGGGGCAGTCAGGCTTGTAGGGGAGGCAGAGGTTTTGGAAGGCAGACTAAAGGAATTCAGTTATGGTTGTATTAAGTTTGGATATGTTAAAACATCCAAATTGAGATATCAAGTAAGCAGTTTAATATGTAAGCCTAAGTATATAAGGGGTTTACTAAAGATCCAGGTAAATAAATTAGGATTGTAAGCAAGTACATGGCATTTGAAGGTTGGTTAGAATAGTATACAAACACTCATCAGCATCCAGGAAGTCATGGAGAAAAAACAGGCCCAGTCCTAAACACTGATTCACTCTAATATTCAGAGATTAGGTAGAGAAGGAGAGGTCAACACAGGAGATAGGAAAGGAGCAGTGGCAATGAAGTAGGGGCTAAATCAGGGAATTAAGTTCTAAGGAGCAGGAATTGTACAGGAAGAGAGTAAAGAGAAACTAACTTCAGAACTGGTACGTATCCTTGAAACTTATATGATAATCTCTAAAATAACTAAAAAAAGGTGTTTATGGTTTCTTTAAGATAGAGAACTAAGTAGATTGTGAGAAAAAAATCAAGAAAAGAAAAAAAAACAGGAGGCAGGAAATGACAGCAAGAAAGAGGAAATGAAAGAAATATTGAGAAAGCTCAACTAAAACAAAGTATTAAATAAGATGACAATACATCCAACAGATCAGTAATTATGAAGAATAGAAACAAACCAAGATTTCAGTTAAAAGATAAAGATCAGACAGGTAAATTTATAAGATCCAGATATATATATATATATATATATATATATATATATATATATATATATATAGTTTGAACAAAGGTATCTGAAAGAGAAAAATTCAGAAAGAAAAATTTAAAAGAACAGAAAGTATAAAATAGTTGTAAATATCAGATAAAGTAGTCTTTAATATAAAAAAAATCATCCTTAGAAATAAATAGGATTTCCATATAAGTATGAGATTTGATTCACTATAGGAAAAGGGAAACTATAAACTTGTATGCAATTAATAGCAAACTCAAAATATATAAAGCAAATKTGACAGAAATACAAGGAAAAACAAACAAATGTGATCATAATAGAAAAATTTAATATATATCTTTCAGTAAATGATCAAGTTGATGAAAAAACTCAGAAAGGATACAGAATATATGAAGCACTTGCTTTAAAATAATTAATATAATGGACACACCTAGAACACTATGTTCAACAGTCAGAGAACAATGTATACATTCTTTTCAACAATATATAAAACATATGAAAAAACTGATTATATAGTGGGTCATAGAACAAGTTTCAGCAATTTTAAAGACAAAGAGATTTTTGATCCCAAATGCAAAAGACATCAGTAGTAAAAAGATAAACAGAAATAACTACATGCTTGGGAATTAAGAAAAATACATCTAAAACCTTATGAATCAATAAAGAAATATAATGGAAAATAGAAAAAAAGTTCAAATAAAAAATATTACATATTAAAATGTATAGAATTCAGATATAGAAGCAACTAGGTGGTCACAAACTGTTAGCAGCTTCAGATGCCTGGCAGAAGTAACCAAAATGTTTCCAGAACTGCCAAATGTCTTTTGGGGCACACAATCAGCAGCAGTTGAAAAATCACTACCCTATACATACATCATTTGAATAAACTGTTTATCCTTCCATTTTCCTTCTTATGGAAAACATATATATATATTTGTAATCGTACTTTTTCTTATACAAGAGAGTGTATATCTTACTATTTTCACTTAGTAATGACAACTTTTTAAATAATCAAGCAAAATTTTTCCTGACATGATTCTTACTGGACTTCAATGTGTGTAAAACAAATGTGAGAGAACGTGTTTTTTTAACCTTAACTGTTTACACATAAAAGTGTATCTTAAAATTCTAAAATAGTTTACCTCTTGTTCAACATTTACCTTGCACATTCATTTGGTTCTTCTGTGGCATTCTTCAGTAAAATATTTATGAGGTAATGCTAAAAACACAAAATTAAGTAAAATAAAAACTTTGTGTCATGGTTGGTTTCCCACATGTTCTGATCATGTTCCAGGCAACCAGGAGCTACTGAAGGACCAGGGAGCTGAGGAAACTTTTCCTTCAGGAGAGCCTGGAGAAGGAGGAACATTGGGCTTGTCTTTTCAGGGAGTGTTTCTAGATATCCAATGAAAGCCTCACAAAGCAATTAGACCTCCAGATAGGAAAATCTCCATTTTCTTTTACTTTAATTGGATTACACACTGTATATTGAATTATATATTGTAATTATGTATTATAGATTGATTGATTAATGCAGAGGATTTTTTTTTTTTACTTTTTGCCTCAAAAGCTAGTTGAGGAGAGAACAAATGCTTACTTTTATTCTCTAAGAAATGATCTGAAATTTCAAATTATTAGTATTTAATCAGGTCAACAATGGGATTGAGTATTTAGCTTATTTCAATTATTCTTTATAATTTCATTTGATATACTAATGCAGCATAACTAATCTAATAAAATTACTACAAAGGATGATTCATTACATAATTATGATCCCTAGGCACAATAAACAGATCTAATAAAAAAATACCCAAGGAATATAAACTATTAGGTCTAATGGCAATATGCTCTGAATGTGATACATTTATAGCTCCTAAAACAGACTTCTGAAAATAACTACTGAAGCATTTAAAAGATTCAACAAAATTTCAGGAATAAGTAGATAGTATATAAGAACGGAAGATATAATCATATAGCTAAAACTACAGTATGCTAAACTTGAGGTTAAATCAAAGACTCTGCGTACCTTGACATCTTCAGTTCCTGTAATGACCTCATTCACTTCCGGCACTGACTGTAGTAAAGGGATTTCCTGGTAGGTATTTGGAAAGCACACCAGGGAACCCAGGATGGTGAGAGCTTCTGCACGAGGTGCCTGCACACAAGAAATGAAACACATACGTTTCTTTTTGAAAGTTAGAAACTTTGGAGAGGCAATAATATGTTTTACTTCTCCATAATTTTGTGAGGGAACCTTAATCGTAATAACTATTTTATCTTGACTACATAATATCATACTATGCCTGGTTATTTTCCTGGTGAATTTTTAAGCAAGAGAGATTTGCCTAAGTGCAAAAGCAAATTTCTAAGGAACAAAAAATATGACTATACTTGGATGTAAGTGTTGTGAAAACTGGTCTGTAGATTCATTCAGAATTAGGAAAACTAATCACTATTATTTTATATTATTTTAGAGTTAGTGTTCATAACAAAACAGAGTAAACAAAATCAACTTGATGTTATTTTTTTCTGTGAAGAACAATTAAGGAAAACTCCTAAGGAAGTTAGTTCGGAGGTAATAAGAGAAGAAAGGAAGGATACTAACTACCAAAATTCTTATGGTTCTCTAGGAACTACTTTGTAAAATAACATAGTGAACTACTAAAACACTATATCTAGCAAGGCACTAGTTACTTATTTGTCCACTGTTGGAAGAATGTATATATTGAAGAAGGCATTTCACTAGATTTCAATTTAATCAACACTAACTAGCAGCTGTCATTAGCCAAGAATAAAGGGTTCCATTTACAGTGCCTCCTGCTTCAGAATATAAGCTTTTACTACAGCAAGTAGAGAAAGGACACCCAGTTCTAATTTTGGCAGTGAGAGGAAGGGAAAACATGCTTCTGTTCCGGAAGCTCAGTGTGCTCAAGGATGTAAAGTATGACTTCAGGAGTAAGAGTGGAACCTGAAATAGAGGTCTGAAACCAGTGTAATCAACCTGGTGAGGGAAGCAGCAGAGTGGGTGCAAAGAGAGGTGAAGATTGCTCCCTATGGCTTGAAACCTGATTTCATATGGAGCCTGAAGGAAGCATATAAAGTCACTTCTGTGCTCAGGGTTAAAGTGACAAGGTACTGTGGTGACACTTATAGGCAGCAGGTAGGAGAAAAAAGAAGTTCTAAAGCAAGTTGGGCTGTGGTTGGGGGAATGAATTTGATGCATCCATGTGGCATCCAGAGGCAAGTGTACATGAGACAGATGGTGAAAGGGTCAGAGGCAGTGATCTTCAAAGTGTGCTCCAGCAGGGACACACGAAATTTAAACAGGAAAAATCAAAGACTTCAAGGAAAAAGAACATGCAGAAATATTTGGCTACATACAGTTAAACAAGAGCCTTTAACATGTTAATGTACACTGATTTTCAAGTAAGGATGTATATTCCACAGAATTATCTGACCATAAACCTGTCCCTTTCTCCCCACTGCCCCCCAAGCATCTTGGGGTTTAGTGTTCTGAAGATATTCTGAAAGGCTTATCTTGAGTTTAGAAGAAAAGTTTGAAAGCTAATATGGGAACCTTTTCTGTTCAGAAGAACTAAATGAAAGCTAACTCTGAGAATGTGCAAGGGGGCGGGGGAATGATGTCAGGAGTCACAGCCTTGGAAGTGGGGAGACAAAATAGAACATTATCAGTAGCCCACAGAAGTCCTCTCTGTGCCCCACCTCCATTCCCTTTCCAAAGTAACTCCTATTCTCCATAACATCACAGATTAGTTTCGTCTAGTTTTTGAACTTTATAATAATAAAATTAGAGTATATATTCTTCTGTGTCTGACTTTTTTCCCCAGTATTATGCTATGCAACTGACCCTTGTTATGGCATTATTGTATATAATATTCCATGTTACTCATACACTGTAATTTATTTGTTCTATTGTTGATGAACATTTGGATTGGCTTTAGGTTTTTGGCTGTTACAAACAATGTTGCTGTGCACAAACTTCTACACAGTTTTTGATGACCTGTGTGTGCATTTCTGTCTCTCTTTCTCTCTCTCCTACTGCCTCTGTTGGGTAGATCTCTACAGCAAAGGTATTTCACACTTATAATTAACTTGTGTAAACTGAAAATTTTCACTGAGAAGGTACACTCCATCCAAATACCTTTCACCAGATCGCCTACAATATTAAACCTTGAGTTTATTTATTTTTTTTTTAATTTTTTTTTAAAGAGAGAGTGAGGGGGAGAGAGGGGGAGAGAGAGAGAGAGAGAGAGAGAGAGAGAGAGAGAGAGAGAGAGAATTTTAATATTTATTTTTTAGTTCTTGGCGGACACAACATCTTTGTTTGTATGTGGTGCTGAGGATCGAACCCGGGCGGCACGCATGCCAGGCGAGCGCGCTACCGCTTGAGCCACATCCCCAGCCCTAAACCTTGAGTTTAAATGACAAAGTAATTCAGAGTTACTGTTCCTTTACATAATTTGCATTCTCATTCTGTTTTTTAAAAACATTTTTGAAGGCTAGTTATTTATTCTTTGTTGATTGTTTTTCTCCAGCTTTGAAAGATAATAATTGTATATATTTAAGGTGTACTACATGTTTTGATACACATATACATTGTAAAACAGTGACCATAATCAAGCTAATTAATATATTCACCACCTCATATAGCTGTACTTTTTTGTGGTGGGAATATTTAAGATCAACTCTCTTAGGAAATTTAAAATTTACAATATAGTATCATTAACAATATATTGTTAACATTACAATATAGACACCATGCTGCCCATTAGGCCTCAAGAACTTATTCATTCTGCATAACTAAAACTTTACACCCTTTAACTATCAACACACCTCCCAAGACATTCCTCAGGACCTGACAACCACCATTATATCCTTTGCTCTGTGAATTTTACTTTTTTAGATTTCAGATGTAAGTTGAGATTATGCAGTATAATGTTTGTCTTTCTGTGACTAGCTTACTTAGCAGAATGGCTTCCAAATTCCTCCATGTTGTTGAAAATGACAAGATTTCCTTCTTTTTAAATGCTGAATAGCATATTACACAAAATAATTCTGATTCAGACTGTGTAAATGTGTTGAAATACACACACACACACTTCACCCATTCATCCAATGATACACACTTAAGTCGTTTCCATAATTTGGCCATTTGTGAATAATGCTGCAATGAACATGAGAATGCAGATATCCCTTTGAAATACTAGTTTCATTTCCTTTGGATATATGCTCAGAAGTAGAATTTCTAGATCATAGTTCTATATTTAAGTAGTTGAGGAACTTTACTACTATTTTCCATAACGGCTGTAGTCATTTATGTTTCCATTAACAGTGTACAAAAGTTCCCTTTCTTCCACATCCTCACCAACAGCTTGTTTGTCTTTTTGACAATAGCCATTCTACCAGTGTTTTGTTTTTTTTAATATTAATTTTTTTAGTTGTGGTCGGATACAATATCTTTATTTATTTTTATGTGGTGCTGAGAATCGAACTCAGGGCCTCGCACTTGCTAGGCGAGCGCTCTACCACTAAGCCACAACCCCAGCCCCCAAAAGTGTTTTTTTTTTTTAAATTAATTTAATTTCATTTTTTTACATAAATGGAGTATAACTTTTCATTTCTCTGGTTGTACATGATGTAGAGTCACACCATTTGTGCAATTATACCCACACATAGGGGTAATAATGCCCATCTCATTTCTAACAGTGTTTTTAAATTGCATTTCCCTGAAAGTTAGTCATGCTAAATATTTTTTTCATATACCTGTTAGCCAAATGTTTGTCTGGAAGGCTATTTTAAAAAGTTCATCTGGCTAAAAGATACATTTTCACAGAGAACAACCCCATTGTGTGATACTGTGTCTATGAAGGGTTCTAGCATTGTAGAACACTCTCCTATCAAATAATAAAAATTCCAACAAAGTACGACCTTTGGGTATAGTCCGAGAAGAGGAATAGCTGGGTCAAATGGTGTTTCCATTCCCAGTTTTCCAAGGAATCTCCATACTGCTTTCCAAATTGGCTGCACCAATTTGCAGTCCCACCAGCAGTATATGAGTGTGCCTTTTTCCCCACATCCTCGCCAGCACTTGTTGTTGTTTGTCTTCATAATGGCTGCCACTCTTACTGGAGTGAGGTGGTATCTTAGAGTAGTTTTAATTTGTATTTCTCTGATTGCTAGAGATAATGAGCATTTTTTTGAATATTTGTTGATTGACTGTATATCCTCTTCTGAGAAGTGTCTGTTCAGGTCTTTGGTCCATTTATTTATTGGATTATTTGTTTTTTGGGTGCTTATCCTGTTAAGCTCTTTATATACCCTAGAGATTAGAGCTCTATCTGATGTGTGAGGGGTAAAAATTTGTTCCCAGGATGTATGCTCCCTATTCACCTCACATATTATTTCTTTTGCTGAGAAAAAACTTTTTACTTTGAATCCATTCCATTTGTTGATTCTTAGTTTTAATTCTTGTGCTACAGGCATCTTATTAAGGATGTTAGGGCTTAGCCCCAAGTGATGGAAATTAGGGCCTACTTTTTCTTCTATTAGATGCAGAGTCTCTGGTTTAATCCCTAAGTCCTTGATCCATTTTGAGTTAACTTTTGTGCATGGTGAGAGTTAGGGATTCAATTTCATTTTGTTGCATACGGATTTCCAGTTTTCCCAGCACCATTTGTTGAAGATGTTATCCTTTCTCCATTCATGCTTTTGGCACCTTTGTCTAATATAATGTAATTGTAATTTTGTGGGTTAGTCTCTGTGTCCTCTATTCTGTACCATTGGTCTACTAACCTGTTTTGGTGCCAGTACATGCTGTTTTTGTTACTATTGCTCTGTAGTATAGTTTAAGGACAATTCACAATAGCTAAACTGTGGAGCCAACCTAGATGTCCTTCAGTGGATGAATGGATTAAAAAAATGTGGCATTTATACATAATGGAATATTACTCAGCAATAAAAAATAATAAGATCATGGCATTTGCAGGGAAATGGATGGCATTAGAGAAGATTATGCTAAGCGAAGTTAGCCAATCCCCAAAAAACAAATGCCGAATGTCTTCTCTGATATAAGGAGGGTAACTCAAAATGGGATTGGGAGGGAGAGCAAGGGAGGAAGATTACCTCTAGATAGGGAATAGGGGTGGGAGGGCAAAGGAGGGAGAAGGGAAATAGCATGGATCCTGAAAGGAGACTCTCATCCTTATACAAAATACATGTATTAAGATGTGAATTTGGTGTCAACAAACCTTATATATAATCAGAGACATGATAAACTATGGTATAATGGTATATTAAGAATTGTAATGCAAAAATAAATAAATAAATGAATGAATTAAAAACAATTTCAACAAAGTAGTATGATTTTCCTCTTTGTATCCTATAAATTTTTTCAACATTGTTTCAAGTCATTAAAAATAGGCTTGAAAGTTCTTTGAGATTATCCTAAAATATTTTGGGATAATCTTTTGAAATAGGGAAGTATGACTCTGAATAGATAATAGTTGTACAGAGGAGAAATGGGAAAGCCATATTATTCACAAAAAAACTTTAATTGAATAAATTGAACATTTTCTCTTGTTTCCCTTCCCTTATTCTTTTCTTTTGCTCTTGTCTCTTTTTGCTTTTCTTTGCTGTTTCATTTATCTTTATAAGAAAAAGCCTACAAAAACACCAGCATGAACTATCAGCCATACAAAGTATTAAATAAAACTAATTTAAAACCTTGGGCTCAGAGTTTGAATTTACTCTGCACAGAAAAAAAAAGTAGAGTGAAAAGGTACCCATGTGTTAAACAAAATTTAGGGTGTTGGACACTCATACTAACTTCAATACAAATCCCTGGCAAATGGTAAAGTTTATTTCATTTATACCATTTGAAGGGGAAAATGACTCTGAACAGATAATAATTGCACACAATATAAATGGGAAAGGTCCTTTAAATTCAAATGTGTAAGAGTATTCTCCAAAGGAATTAAGATGCTGCCTACATAGTGGAAGTAAATGTAAAGACTGAAAATAAATTCTTTTTGTAGCCTTTAATGCTCATTTAGTCTATTTGATTCCAATTTTTTAAAAAATATTTTTTAGTTGTTGATAGACCTCAATTTTATTTATTTACATGTGGTGCCAAGAATCAAATCCAGTGCCTCTCACATGCCAGGAAAGTGTGCTATTGAGCCACAGCCACAGCCCCTTGATTCTAATTTTTTAGCATAAGAATTCTGCTAGGGGCTGGGGATGTGGCTCAAGCGGTAGCACGCTTGCCTGGCATGCGTGCGACCCGGGTTCGATCCTCAGCACCACATACCAACAAGGATGTTGTGTCCGCCGAGAACTAAAAAATAAATATTAAAAATTCTCTCTCTCTCCTCTCTCTCTCTCTCTAAAAAAAAGAATTCTGCTAGAGTTTTCTGGCACAATAATAAGAAAATAGATATTTCTTTCTGGTAAAAAAATTTAGTATTATAATATTTTAAGAAAATATTTCTAGGGCTGAGGATATGGTAGAGCACAAGTTTAGCATGCATGAGGCCCTAGGTTTACTCTTAATTTAAGACCACACACAAAAATTCTATGAGAATAATAATAATGAAGACCTAACTAAAAAACAACAACACTGTACTGTTAATGTACACTTACAATTTTCTCTTTACTTTGGACAGTTATGTCTGTATCAGCATTTATCAGAAAATGCTAATAAGATTCTAAGAGAAAAATTCTGATTCTGACTGTGTAAATGTGCTGAAATATTAGTGAGGATATGATTTCTCACACTTTGGCCTTTTGATGAAACGCCTTTCCAATACCAGTGTGTCATCTTATCCTACAATTTCACACATCAGCTGCCAGGGTATCTACCCTGAGAGCCCAGTTTCACATTGCACTAATGAGTCAACACCTGTTACAAGTGGAGAAATCTGAACCTTGTTAGCGATTGAGAAGCCTCCTGGGAGCCTGGATGCTAAGCATTGTCATACTCACCGTCAACATGTCTGTACTAAGGACCCTTGCTGCAGCCGTGATAAAGTCTCCCACCAGCATTGAGAATCCAGGCAAACCCAGGGAGAAAAAGCGCGGTGGACAGTGCCTTATAATGATATTTAAAATATCCTAAAAGGGAAGATAAGAAAACACTATTTATTATTATTTGCATTACTGGGGATTGAACCCAGGGGCACTCTACCACTGAACTACATCCCTGAACTCCATGTATCTTTCATTTTGAGACAATGTACCAATAAGTTGCTGGGGCTGGCCTCAAATTTGTGATCATCTTGTCTCAGCCTCCTAAGTTGCTGGGATAACAGGCATGCACCACCAAGCCCAGTTATCACACTGTGGTTTTTTTTTTTTTTTTGTGGCGCTGGGGATTGAACCTAGGGATTGAACCTTATGCATGCAAGACAAGCACTCTACCACCTGAGCTATATCCCCAGCCCTACAAATGTAATTTTTAAGAATCAAATTCCAAAGAAGTTTGTGTGTAAATATGACCTCTGCATATTAATCTAAAAGAATTTGGATGACAGAAATTTTTCAGTGGTGGGGTACCAAGAAATGAGATACTACAATGGTAACTGTACCTATTTTACAGGTAAGAGAATAAAGACACCAAACTGTAAGATCATCCAAAATCTAAACAGTGTCAATGAGACAAGACAGTTCTTCTATATTCCACCTAAAGGTGACTCCTTGGACAAGCTTCAGGAGTGTTGAGGTATATATATCCTATCACTAAAGAAAATTATGTTCTGCTTTTAGCCTTCAATATTTAAAAGTTAAAGCGTGCTGTTTATATTAAGGGAAATTTTCACTTTCCAGGTAATTTCATACCCCAACAAACAGAAATGTATAGAGTGCCCAGGTAATGCTGTGATCACTGATGTACTAAGGTCAGAGAGTCAGTGTAGCTGTGAGGAAATGTGTGATTGCAAGGCACAAGTACGCAATGCAGCAGAAATCTTCTGTATTAAGAGCATTGTATGCCCCAGAAGCCTTGTATCCTGTGTCTCAATGGCTGTTATTGGTGGCTAGCCACCCCAACTCCCCAACTTCCAACTCTATTCTGAGGCAGTCACCTCAGTCCTGTCTGTGACAAATCAGAGATCCACCACTGGACAGCACTCACGCCATTATAGCTAGGCCATACCTCTGAAGCCATCTATACAAGTCTGTATATAAGAGGGTAAGTTAGAAAACCATAAACTTCATCTATGCAGTTTTTGGCCAGGAACATTAATCAAACAACCAAAGTACTATAGGCATTGACTAATAGTTATATAATCTATAGTTAGTTCCAATATATGATTAAAAAGCAAAATTAAAAAGTCTCCAGTTTCTGAGTTTTTAGCATGGCCATTGGAAAAATCCTTTAAAATAATTTTGATTTAATTGTATTAGAGCACAGTAGTAACAACATGCCAAATTCTAATACATTAACTTAAATCCCTCATAATACAAATAACCTCATTTGACAACTTACCTTCTTGAAACAGCATTTATATGTGTTCACAAAACATTTTTCCTTACGTAGTAGCCTCATTTAATTTTTATAAATCATAGTATTTGTATCATCAACATGACTGCACAAGTTTTACCTGTTAAAGCTTACAAATGGTAAACAGTTTATCAAATGCTAATTTAAAGTTTTGGCATTTTGGCAGAGTTTTTCCTGTGCTAAAAATAAACAAATATACAGATAGGTAGATAAGAGGAAGGAAGGAAGGAAGGGAAGAAAAGTCTGAACCATGCTTCTTCTTAGTTAATGTTTAACCTGCTTTAATCATGCCCTGTGACACACTTTAGGGTTCCTATCAGCAAAGGCAAACATTCTAAGGGGACCAGCAGATGGGTGCTGCCGTTTAGAAAGTGTGTGGTAAACTCATGCTCCAGGAGTAGAACAAAAGATCCACCTTTTTCATAATTAAGCCTCTGATTAATGCCCTGGGCTCCTCACCACACACCTGTAATTACTCACAGAGGTACGCATTGTGCTGGGCCTTGACTCAGAATATCAGACATCAAGCTATCCGGCAGCAGATGGAAGCACATTTCTGTTGACATATGCTGCTATGAAAGGATTCGTGCAAACCTGGCTAGCAAGGTAGCATAATGCCATGCATCTGAAGATTAATAATGCAAACAACCATGATGTTAACTTTGTTATGTTTGTGTTAATTCCATCTGTTGAGATGAGGAACTAAAACCCCAAAGCCTATGGGTTTTAAAAATCTTTAGCACATACTTAAATGAGCCATTTTTTGCCACTGGAATTTAAAGTTTTAATTAAAAAATGCTTTTCTGAGATAGGTTTATGAGAATTAGGAACTAAATCCTTTAATAAGCTAAAGCCAGAATTTATAAATGGAATCCATCTTGCTTCATAAGATTTGTATGTGTAAAGTCAATGATCTGTAAAATGGGGCATTCAGAAAAAATTACTAAGTTGCCATGATGCTAAAGACAGCAGATATGCATGCAGCTGAGATAAAGTCACCCAGCTCCCCCAGCCCCTGGACCTCAGCCAGTCACTTCAACAGAACCTGTTTCTATGGGCAAGAAGATCGGAAAGAGGACACAGTAACAGATGGCTAGCCTAACCTACTCTGCCACCCACGTAAGAGTGCGCCCCTAGGAGAAGCAGGGCCCGTGCCACAGTCACCAAAGAGCACTGGGGTAGGGTTAATGTGGGGGTTAAAGAGGAAACTATATGAGAAGTCAGCCAAATTACAGCCACATGTCTGCTTCCTTTGCTTATCCACATTAACATGGAACAACTCAAAGATTCTACCTTTGTGACAACATTTTAAAATTAGGAATAACCATGTGGTACTCAAAAGAGAGCAGTTGCGAACAACAACAAATTGCTCCATTCATTTCTTTTTTTTCCTAATATTTTTTAGTTATACATGGACACAATATTTTGTTTATTCATTTTTATGTGGTGCCAAGGATCGAACCTAGTGCCTCACATGTGCAAGGCAAGTACTCTGCCACTGAGCCACAACCTCAGCCTGCTCCATTCATTTCTAACTAATCATATAATCTTTAAAAGATTATTAAGATCATAGTTGTAATTGGAATCAATCTTCAGAAATATAAAATAAAAATCTTCAGACTTTGAAACTTTCTTTGCAGCCTCTGAGGCATTATATATACGTAAGACAGACCCATACTTCCCACACATGAATCATTCATGTACAGCCCTCATGCATTTTGCCATATTCACCTCAAAGGCAAACATGATTTGCCTAATCAGTTTTCCCAGTAACTCATTTTTTTAAACTTAAATAAAATTATTCTGAAAAATTAGTATCATTTGTCTTAGAAAATATTCCCTTAAATAAATATAATGATAGTAAATCAATGATACTGAGTTTTTGCTAAAAGTATTACTGACAGATAGTGATCTGACCAGTCTGAAGCAAGGGCCCTCCTTGTTTGAATCATTAGGATGGTGTAAAAATACTCCTCTACCTACTCCAGGTGGCCTACCTGAAAGCATCACAAGGAATGGCCAACACAAAGAAAAAGGCCATCATTCCCACTATGTTGTTCACTGCTATTTAGTGTTGCCCCAGATTTGACCATGACCAGGAAATGCCCCTGCACTCAAAACTCTGCCCAGGTGAAAAGAACTCCAAAACTGGGACCATGAGGCCTGGGTTCACAGATATGTGTGAGACTGTAGGCAAATCATATCATGCCTGGGCTTCACATTTATCCTCCATAGAATGGGATGACTCTGTCTTAAAGTCTAATATCTAACAGGATAGTAGATATGAACATATGGTTTTGTAAACTGGAAATCGTCATACAGAAGTAAAGAGGGTTGTGAGTAAAATAAAAAAATCAAAAAGGGGAAGAACTCTAAGGATTTCACTATACAAATCTACTTTTATATATAAGTTCAGTTTGTACTATTCAGCAAAAATATTACCTTTTTGATCCTCACAAATTCAAGTAATATTTTAAAAACATTTCAAAGGTTGTACAAACAAGCCTCTTAGATCACACATTATCCCAGAAATTAAAAGGCTCCAGAAATTAGTGCCTTTAAACAATATTCTGAACAAGTCACTACAGCAATTATGCATAGACTATGTACTTTATAAGAAAAACAAGGAAACAAAAACACAGAAAAAGGATCATTTTAGATTTTCCAGATTTCATTCTTTTGAGGAATTCTAGAACTTATCCCAAACAAGTAAGTATGGTAGCAAGAATTAGTTTCTTTTCCACTCTAAACAGACTCAAACAATAAAATAAAACAATAAGTTAGTTCAATGGTAAATGGAGTATAAAACAGGAATTAAGTTTATCCTTTAAAGTTGTCAGTCTGAAGCACAGACAAAATTCTTGCATATGCTTTTTGTTCAAAGGAAATAGTCATGAAAAATATTGTAACATGGTGAAAAGGACACCAAACCAGTATTTTTCTCTTGTTTTGGTGAAAATTCCATGTGCACACTACATACTGAGAGTGAAAAGCTAGACTGTAAAATGATAATTGTGAATTTGTAGCTTATCAAAAGATACGGGTTTATGAGAAAGTGACTGGTGAGAACATCTGTCTCTTATCACTGATCTTGCAAAAAATCAGGTAATTCAAATAGAGGCGTGTTGTTTCCTATCCTCCAAAGCACAGTTCTATAAACACAAACCACATTCAGCCCGGTAAATGAATCGCTTTAATTGAATGCTATGTACACAGTAACTGGAAAAACCATAAGTGATAAGAAAAACATATGGTGATGGCAACAGAAATTGGTTTATTCATTTTGCATAGTGTTGTTTCTTTAGTTCTTTTATAATTGACCTTTAGAACGATAAATGTGTAAAATAATTTTGTTTATTATGGCTCCAAACCTTCCAACAATTACACAAAATGAAAATTTAAAAGGAAGGATTCATTCTGGAAGCATTTCCATTGTTTACATAATTGCACAGCTATAATTTAGTGCTCATGTTGTTATGGAAAATAAAAAAAGGGCCATTACGGGCCATTTCAATTCAAAATATTGCACAGTGGTGTCAAAAAATGGGGGAAAATGTTCACTTTAAAACAGTTTAAAATGGATTAGCCCTATAAATAAAAACATTTCAATATA